AACATTGTCCAAAGGCCCACCCAGGGTTTCTAAATCTGTAAGGGGAATGTCCTCTTGAGTGTTGTTCTACTTACAACTGATGGGACCCCAGACTTTGTGAAATTACATTAACATGCAAATTTTTATGTAGCACAGATGTAGGTGATTTTTGTCTATTAGATAGATAAGATAATCCCTCAAGGTTACAGTTTTATTGTTGTATAGGATATTACTCTGTTTTTCCCTGAGTTAAGATTTCAGATGATCTTTGACTCTGTTTTATGGTTCCCTCATTAAATAGATTAAGTACAATTTGGATACATATTCAATCTATGTTTAAATGAGCATGAATGTTTTTAGCTTTTTAAAAATTCTCTTGGGGGGGGGCGCCTGGGTGGCTCAGTCGGTTAAGCGACTGACTTTGGCTCAGGTCATGACCTCACAGTTCGTGGGTTCGAGCCCCACGTCGGGCTCTGTGCTGACAGCTAGCTCAGAGCCTGGAGCCTGTTTCAGATTCTGTGTCTGCCTCTCTCTCTGATCCTCCCCTGCTCACACTGTCTCTCACTCTCTCTCAGAAGTAAATAAAACATTTAAAAAAATTTTCAAAGAAAGTTACATTGGATACTCTTTATTAATGTATTGCTTTTTATAATCAGAACAGAAAGAACAGTAATTGTTGCTTCTTAAAAAAATAATTCAGGCCAAGAAAATCCCAGGAGGTAGTTGGGACAAGAGAAGTGGAGATAGGGTTGGTTGACACCTAGTATCCCTTCTCCTCAAGCAAGCTTCCTTTTTCTCAGGTCTGTGTCATTAGGTTCAGCTTCAGGGACCTCATGCAATCCTGAACTCCCAAATCAAAAGGGTTGGCACAGACACGCTGCCCTTTCTTGGTGAGGAAGCTGGGGAGCAAGGCAGAGAAAAATTACAAACTAAGGGGGTTCAGCAAACGGGGTTGAGATGCCCAATCCTCCCTGACCCTGGGATCAGTCCAGCCTCTTCTTTTATTTCTCTGCTGCAGGGGTGCAGGGTACCTCCTTTCTGAGACTCAGCCCTATGACTGCCTTAGTGAGTCATGGGAGTCTCCTCAGGCAGCCTTTCTTCTGTTCTCTCCTTCTGTCTCCAGCCTCCCTCTTCACTGGGGACATCTCATATCTGATGCCCTGCCTCTTGTGACCTGGCACGATCCAGACGGTGAGTGGGACTTTTCTAGATACCCCCTCCGTCAGGTCCTCCCTTCCCAAGACATGGCTGGTGAGCTTGGTGCTTACATAACACCTGGCTGGGAGCATCCGCTGCTTGTTATAAAATAATCTTTCATGATTACACATCGGATTTTCCGTGGAGTGTAGTGGATGCAGCAGTCAGCAGGACGGTGAAAGCCTGCAGCAAGCGGAAAGGGTCATTTAGGGACTGGGTCTCTTTTTGAAGATGACTAAATCTTTTACCCCTTTCCTCCAAAGTCCTGGAAAGGGTGAGAAGGCACATAACTCCAAAGGGACATTCTCCTTCTCGGCCAGCACTTGCTTCCCTCTCCTTGGGGCTGAGCTATGTGTCTGGGGGCACCCAGGCAGGGCCACAGCATGGCCATGAACATTTCTGATAGAAGAGGAAGTGTCTGATGCTTGCAGAAGGCATTAGAGAGCACCTGCTGTCCCAGGGGAGCCGACTCTGGAGACGGCTGGGTGGAATAGAGGTTACCTCTAAAGGCCAATCCTGATCTTCCTTGGGAGGTTCACCACCTTCAGGATCTTCCTCCTCTTTCCCTCAACCCCCACCCTATAAACGAGGTGTTTTGAAGCCACTGAGCAGATCTGTGCAGCTGCTGCTTTTAAACATAAACTATACTATAACATATACTTTTACCTTCCAGATGTATTGAGGGTTCATGCGGACGTATTGCCACCACAGGTTCTATTTGAGAAAAACAGACAAAGGGAGAGAAATCACAAAGGCAGCATTGCCTTAGTATCTCCACCGGTCTCAGCCCCATCCCCTGGTAGGGAGGTGACCATGCTGGACCACTAGACATCTGTCTGGGTTCTAGGTCTGCTTGGGGCTCATTGTCTCTCTTAGGACGCTGAGATGTTTCAGGAAACTCTTGAAACTGTATGGGAGGTGAAACCATCCTAATGACTTTAAAATACAAAAAGCAAAATGTAAATCCCATATGCATAAATCAGTTGGATAGCTATGTAATGTGATACAGTCCACAATACTTTCTGTACATTTCTGGAACCCACAGGACTCAGGAAACAGAAACATTTTTCATTAACTGATCTGGTGACACAGTGTCACCCAGAGTGAAGTGAGGCTATTTATAATCTTTATTTATCCCATGGGCACAAATATTTGTAGGTATTTGCTGCAGAAATACTATGTTTGATTGAAGTACACTTCCCTGGCTCTGCCAAGGATGTTAAGCAATATCCAGGTATGTGCTGCCTTTTAAAAAATGTTATTGTATTGAAAATGTAAAATATACATAGGAAACATTTATAATTTCAAGCATTTTAAAAATTCAGAGGCAATAAGCACATTCACATGTTGTGCAACGATGACCACAATCCATCCACAGAATGGTTTTCACCTTGCAAAACTCAAACTCCTTGCCTATTGAGCAATAACTCCCATTTTCCCCTTCCCCGGAGCCCCAGGCCACTACTGTTCTTCTGTCCCCAAATGAGTACCTCGTTTGAGTGGAATCATACAGTATTTGCCCTTTTGTGACTGGTATATCTCACTTAACATAATGTCTTCAGTGTTCATCCATTTTGTAGCATATGTCAGAATTTCCTTCCCTTTTAAGGCTGAATAATGTTTCATTCTATGTATACCCCATTAAAAATAATCTATTCATTTGTTGATGGACACTGGACTGCTCTTACCTTTTGACTGTAATGAATAATGCTGCTATTAGCATGGGTTTACACATATCTCTTCATGTACCTGCTTCCAGTTCTTTCAGGTATAATTTCAGAGTGGAGTTGCTAGATCATATTACATTACTTTTTAATTTATTTTTATTTTTTTTTAAGTATTCTTTTTTTTCTTTCAGTTTATTGTCAGGTTGGTTTC